AGGAGACAGTCATCATTTTTCGGCCATATTATGAGAAGAGGGAAAATAGAACATGTTGTTACCACTGGAAAGATATGTGGAAGGAGAGATAGAGGAAGACAACGAGAGAAGATGCTTGACAGTCTTGTTGCATGGCATGGAGGTGTGTCAGCACACGAACTGATACATGCTGCAACAGATCGCAGATTATGGAGAGGCATGATCGCCCACGCCAGTCAGCAAGGCACCTGATGATGATGATGACAGATTTGTACGTCTTTCTTTCAATATTTATATCAGTTTAATTTTCTTTGTGTGTGTGTGTTTGTTTTTGTAGGTGTGGGGGGGGGGGAAAAGGGGGGGGGGGGGGGGTTTTAGTCACAAAAGTAAGTTATAGGTCTGTCTATCTGTGGATGCATCTGTACTTATTACTTTACCCGTCAGTCTGTCTATACATATATCTGAATTTCCATCTCTGTGCATGCTTTATTGATAAAATACAACTGTTGTGTGAAAGATCGGTGATTGGAATGGTAGAATATCAGACTGGCCTGTGTGCCCAATTTGTGATTAATTGAATATAAAGTTCGTTCGTTCGTTCGTTCGTTCTCTTGGTCACTCTGGATACTTGGATAATGTCAACATAGCAGCAAAAGCACAACTACTGACCATTTCAAGGACAGAACAGCCAGTTTAGATAAGCTTAGAAAACCAGCAACTCCAGCAAGGAGCAGCCTTCAAGATTCTAAATAGCACAGTAGCCAATGGACAAAAATGGATGCAGACAGAACACGGAAGTAATAAAGCAAATGAAATCATTGGAAAGGTTTCACCAACTCTGCAGAATAAACATCAGTTGCCACCAAAGGAGCACTATTCAAATCAATATTTGTTTTTTAAACCAGCATTGAATTATGGGGGTCAAGCGTGGACATTGGCAACACAGATGTTGTTTTCCCCTTTATCCGTGTCTACCTCTAGCTCTCTTGCCCTTGACCTTCCCCTGAGTATGGTTTTTAAAAGAGTAATATGCGCAGGCTATTTTACAACAATGAGTGTTGGAAAATGACAACAGCAATTTAAAAAACAAACTAGATTTTCTGACTTTGAAGACCTGCAAACATTTGGAGTCATCAAATGAAAAGAGATGACTTTTCACAGGGATGAAGGGATGGATGTGATATCTGCGGCAATGAACCTCAGATTCTGACCTTCTGCCACCTGGTGGCACATTAGCTCCCCGGCAGACGACTTTGTCGTCGGTCGGGACAGTACGTGGATCTGTCTGCTTCGATCGCATCAACACTCCAGCAGTCCTTTTCAGGGCTCTTGGTGGCGTGTAATGGTAATAACCATTTTAAATGACACACATAACCTGGTCACATTTATGACCCAAAGCTCCCCCTTCGGGGTTGCCGACTAAACATGAAATATTTTTTTTTTCTCTGCAAAGCACCTACCTACCTACCTCAAATTCTGAAGAAGAAGAAGACAAGACCTTTTAAAATAAATATCCAAGGAGAATCCTACGAATATTTTTCCCTAAATACGATCAAACATGAAGAACAGATAAGGAGAACAAAATGAAGATGACTTAAACATTTTTTGCAGAATGCCTCGTAACACTTTCTATCAGCTCTTTGGTGGGCAGCTAATGAAAAAGAGGAAACGTAAAAGACCTAACGAAAGCTGGAAAGAACAATATAAAGGTAAATAAAGGACTGTATCACAGGTAAAAAGCCTTAGACCAGCACCAATAGAGATCTGCTGTGAATGCCTTATGGATCATAACGACATGCAGAGGAAGGATATTGGTATAGATTACGAGCAGGCAACAGTTAATTAACGCAAATAATTTGTTACTGTAGGAACAACACCATGCAGCAAATTCCTTGAGAAACAGAAAATCAAAGGATTTGGTCATCTAGTAAGAATGCAGCCAGAATATCTACCAATGCAGGCGCTACTCGTGAAAAGAAGTGAATTGAAATCAAGAGGCCGCCCTAGGAGAAACTGATTGATACCGTTAAAGAGCTTCTACATCAACACGGGATGACAATAGCCAATGCCGCCCATCAGGCAATGGATCGCAAACTATTCCTTCCCGCGACGCTTAACGGCAGAAATTAAAATTGATGATGGTGATGATATAAGTTGTTTGTAATTTCGTGTCTCTGTTTCAAACTGTGGCACCAATTTGACGTTGATCATCGTTATGGTGTGCCAATCAAATAAGTCTAGACGGCCATGTTTCGCCACTCCACACGATCCTTGAGTCATAGATCAGGTCAGTGCTCCTGTCTCGTCAATATTTAAAAAAAAAAGTAAAGTTCATTTGTTCTTTCATTCGTGTGTATGTTCGCCCGGTTTTTTTTTTTTTTTTTAAGTCTTTACTTATTTCTAACTATGCATGCCTTAGTGTTTGTATGTCAATCTGTTTGTTCATTTGCTCTGCATGATACCCAATCATTCGGTTTGGCGAATTGCTTGTCTATCTATTTATTTTCTCAGTTAATTTTTGTTTTCTAGTACACTGCTCCTACTATCTCTGCTTTTCCTTTGGTTTATTTATCCACCTACCTGCAGCTCTGTTAATCTCTTTGTATTTCTGTTTTCTTCTCCTTTTTCCTCAACTCATCTCCTACTCCACCCCCTCTTCTTCGTCTTCTTTTTATTCTTCTTCTTCTTCTTCTTCTTCTTCTTCTTCTTATTATTATTATTATTATTATTATTATTATTATTATTATTATTATTATTATTCTGAGTTCGCTCTGAAAAGGGTGGTTGGGACGTTGTAATATGAGATAGAAGAGCTAGGCTACTCTAACGGCTCACTAAGTACATTTTAACAAATTTCTTATACTACTTGCTTGTTAGGGACATGGGTCAATTCCCGACCTAGAAAAAAAAGAGGTGAGAGAAATGGGGCGGGAGGGGGGGGGGCTGCTTGGCGTTAAACTGACTTGCTTGAGATATCCTCTTTTGAGGTCAAAATATTCATGTAATGTCCCCCTTTTTCAGTTCAAGATATTTTAGTCGGCCTATTATTAGTCTGTCTGTCAATAGCATCCATCGATAAGCACATCTAACTGTCGGTGTGTCTGTCTGTTTGGTTGTCATTTGTCATTCCTTTTGTCTCTTCAAGCGTCAGGCTATCTGTCCTCTAATATTATCTAGTCATCTCCTTGTGAGGTGCAATTATTCGTTATTTTGAAGCATCGCCCTGGCTCTTGCCAGGGGCCGCAATTTAGCTCGACCATAAATATCGTCTAATGGCTGAACGCGGTTTCTGGGACCTCGCCACGGGTGATCCTCATCCACGTGGTGGCACTTTGTGTCATCGGGTGTTTATCGCTTGTGTGATGTCCTGGTGGGGTAAAATCTACTACTACTAGGTTAGTTGTGTATCCTTTACAGGATTCTAGGCAAGTTTACGTCCAGAAGTTTGCCATTGCTTTGTCGAAACCAACGCTAGGCGCATGGCCCGCAGCTGGGATCGAACTCGGCATCCCGGCATTACGAAGCGTTCGCATCGACTTAGTTACAGAGCCGACCTACTACTACTGCTGTCCTCTGACTGACTGTGTGTTTGTCCAACTGCATATTTAACTGCCCATTAGTCAGCCTCCTCGACTATTCGACAACCTGTCGGTCTGCCCGCCCACTCGCCGCGTTGTCCTATCCTGTTGGTACGCCTGCCCTTTAGTCCGTCTACTCAGTTGCCGAGTCTCCGCCTATGAGTCCACTTCCCAGCAACCGTTCGTCTTATCTGTGACTGGCGTTTCGAACGCGCTTCTTAATTACAGAGTTCCTGGTTCGATACCAGTTAGGAAAGGTAGGCTGGCGGGAAAGGGGGGGGGGTGCTAGCAAATGAACAATGGGATGGGAGAGATATAGAAAACGAGGCACAGAGAGAGCGCGCGAGAGAAAGAGAGAGAGAGAGAGAGAGAGAGGGGGGGGGAGATAAAGAATGGGACAGAAACTGTGGCATACAAAGGAAGATAGAGAAAAGGTGAGGGGGTGGGCGGAGAGATGGGTGTTCTGTCCGATAGGTCACGTCAGCTGCCCATCCCTGCTCACCATCGTTTTTTGGCTGTTTTCTGTTCGGTTTCGTCTCGTCTCTTTGACTCTCCCTTGTCCGGTCTCATCTCGTCGACTGCCTATTGCCCCGTCTAGTCTCGTCGACTGTTCTCTAAATGGTTGGTCTAGTCTCGTCGACTGTTCTCTGTCAGGTTGGTCTCGTCGAGTGTAAATTGCCGCGTCTAGTCTCGTCGGCTGTTCTCTGTCAGGTTGGTCTCGTCGAGTGTAAATTGCCCCGTCTAGTCTCGTCGACTGTTCTCTGTCAGGTTGGTCTCGTCAAGTGTAAATTGCCGCGTCTAGTCTCGTCGGCTGTTCTCGTCGACTATCCTCCTCACAGTCCCATAGCTAGCCGTCTCATGCTCTTTATACCGATGTAACTTTTTCATTTTTGGTGTATGGAGGGTAATTTTGTAACTGACGGTTAAAAAGTGAGGGATTGTGCACAGGCTTCGTAGCCTTCAACCAGCAACCCGAAAGGAAGCTTTAGGTTATAATTGTGACTATGTAATGTGCGCCATATAAAAAGGCTAAGCATTGTTCGCCACCAAGTAGCACTGAAAAGGACTTTCAGTGTTGATGATATCAAAGTAGACAGTCCCACATACTGTCCCGACCGGTGACGAAGTCGTCTACCGGCCAGCCAATGGGCGACACCAATGATAATTGTGTCTAGGCTGCAGAGATATAGTATTATATACGAACGGTAGAAACATCTTTGACACATAGAGGACAATGATGTCCGTTATAATAAACACATGGAGAGAACTAACTAAAAGGATCACGGGGAGACACATTGACATTTTTGGTCACACTGTGAGAAGAAAGAAAAGTTCAGCACGCTGTGACAACTGGAAGGTTACAGGGGTGAGATGCAGACGAAAACCATGACAGAAAATGCTGGAAGTTTGCCATCACGGCACGGAGGTTCATATGTGTCAGAGATGAATGAAAATACAACAAACACAAGTTTGAAGTTGAAGTTTGAACAGCGTATCAACATCATGGCACACGGGTAGTAACCTATAAGTGCTCCGTTCTTCTTCTAACTCAAGTCTAAGCCCGAAGAAGTGCACAGTGCCCAGACTCTGTATCACCGGTGAGGATCCTGAAATACTTTGTGATTTTTAATTCATAATTTTGCCCAGGTTAGAAGTTAGTGAATGTGTTTAACAATTTCATGAGCCTCGAGTAACAGGGTTCGATTTCCGTTCTTGTAGTTTTCGATCAGTAGTGAAACAATCAAGCCAGGGAAGAGACTACGGCCTTACCAAGTAATATTCCTACAGACAGCGATGGACGCACTGCAGGCAACCTTCACTGTGGAGACGGCAGATATTTACAAGATAACTCAACACATCCCTGGTTGAAATAATACTTTACAAAATTTATTCATCAAATTCGACAGCATGTAAATAAATAGTCAAAATTACTTCCATACAAAGTTGCAGAAAACAGTAAATACACAGCGGACACACCTTCCAAACCAGAGGGTCTGGCCGGTTCAATACACTCAGAGGAAAAGCCAGGCAGACATATAACCATATTATGACATGTACCATCAGTATTGTAACTCTGCGCTGTCTGCTGAAGATGAGGACGGAGCATGCATGGGAATGCTCCGAGTGCCGTGACATCAATTCTGGACTCAACTCAACCTTCTAAAACCAAGTGATCTCTCCCCCCCCCCCCTAATTGTCTGGGATTACAGCACCTCACTTAGTCACCTTTGTGGTGCGAATCCATCAAAAGCTTACTCCTAGAAACCCCATGGGAACTTACGACAGTTATATAAGGGCGCTCTGCAGTTACAATGTAACTTGCTGCCTCCCAACAGTGGAGTGACAAAACTTCTTGTTTCCGTTCTCTCTGTCAGTGGGTTTCAGATGAACAAGCCACAGGTCTCAATGAAGGCTTTGGTGCAACGCTTGACCTCCACTACGCCCTACAACCTGGTTTCCACTGGAATGTTTATGTCCAGACCTTGATTTTTCTCTAATACATGTTGAGAGCATATCTGCAGCATATACTCAGTATTCTAGGGTGCATACGCACAAGGGCAAACGAGCGCCCAATCTTGAATGCCATATACATATGAGTGCAGAGTCTGTTGTGACCAATTCGCAGTCTAAATATAACAGCCTGTTGTTTTCATGTGAGTAGACTGATTTTTGAGTCTTCAAGATCAAATTCTGCATGGGAAGTCTTTTTCTTCTTCTTCATATTCACTGGTTGTAAACTTCGGCGGAAAGTTCTGGTTGTTCGTCCACTTCTGGACTGCAGTCCTGTTCTAGAACCTGAGTGTTTGACAGATCTAATTTGTATGCAGACTGTGACGCCCGGCTCTCTAGCGTAGTTGGCTAAACCGGATTGCGCGGTGACCGGGTGACGAATTCCTTGTGGTCCGGGTTCACTTCCGGGGTAGTCAGAAAAGCCACATTTCTCCCAGATTTACGGTATTTACAATGGAATCAAGGCCGAAAGGTTGTGATATCCATTATACCAAGCCTAAGGGTTAACAACTCATGGCTTCTGGATACTAAAAAAAAAAAATAAGTATGCAGACTGTTGATTCCTTGCCTCTCAGGCAGATGCACTCTGACTTTGAATAAAGCTCCCAATTAGTTGACTCTTACAAGATGCTTTTGGGTAGGCAGTGGGTTTAATCTTTTTTTTTTTTTTTTTCAAAGGGTTCTAATAGCTGCCTTGATCTTTCTGTTTTCTTTCTAAGTACATCCATCACCTTGACGTCCAGCAGCACTCACAGTTTGTGCTAAGTTGTCTGCTCTTTCATCACCAATGTGTTAAGTTGTCTGCTCTTTCATCACCGATGTGTTAAGTTGTCTGCTCTTTCATCACCAATGTGTTAAGTTGTCTGCTCTTTCATCACCAATAATTCTGCAGTGGCCTGGGATCTAGTCAAAACAGTATGCTTGGTCAACTGACTCATTTATTTTAATAGAGATCATGTTTTACTATAACCACCGTATGTTTTCATCTCCTATGCCAGTCTATCGAGCCCACTCAGTACTGTCCCCGCCCCTGTTATCCTAGATTTTCCCAGTGGTCACCACTTTCTCCCTACTATCTTATCCCACAAAGTGAAAGTTCTTCTGCATTTGCTTTCAAAATGACCTTGGCAAGCTTCTTGTGGTTTACAGTTAGGCTGTAGTGTTTAAATTTAGGACCTGCTGGTTGGGGAGGGGGTTGAATCTGGTTTTTTCCTCTCCAAAACAGGGTCTTTGAATCCACACAACACTCCTACTGCACTTAGTGTACAGTTGCTAATACACACTTCAGATACAAATCACCACACAACTTGACACCAAAAGAGTACTATTCATATTCAATACATTATTTGTTACCAAAATTGTGTTACCAGTGCCAAACATGTTCATTTAACAACAAGAGAAGAAGAAAGCCAAAAATCGAAACAACAAACATAAAATGTATATGCAATTCCCAAGTGTATCTAGATGAGACAGGATCATAAATGATGATATCAGGAAAGAGGATGGGACAGAACTTGTACTAAACTATATCAAAAGACAACAAATCAAATGGTTTGGTCATGTGTCAAGACTACCACCAGATAGTGCACAACAGAGAGCCCTGCCATTTAAACATAATGGAAGCAGAACAAGAGGTCGACCACACAAGCGATGGATAGATGGACTATCCGAGGTCAGAAATAACAGCATTTATGTAGCACACACCAAGGCTAGCACCAGATGACTTTTCAGAACCTGACGCTAAAGGAAGAACAGGACCAGAGGAGAAGAAGAAGAAAATTTGTGATGTGATCATCATCACAATAGCTGCCTTTACTTTCCATTATATTTCTTGGTACTTTTTTTTAGGCTTAGTTGACCTTTTTTTTTTAATTGCCCCAATGTAGATTCAACCACAATACTTTTAGGTTGGCAAGCACTGGGCTCACAGTTCATCTCCAAACATGATCGTATTACATCTGCTAATGTATTCATAGTCAATTCTGCACTGCAGAGAACCTCCACTGTGGAGACAGCACACACACACACACACACAAAAAGTGGCTGTTTAGTTTTTCATGAATCTCATCCGTATGCTGACACAGGAAAGGTGCATACTCACAGAATGTTTCCTTTTCCCTGTGTTTGCTCTGGGGCTCCGCTGGATGGGTTAAAAGAAGAATCGACCCCCCTCCCCTTAACAAGCCTGTCAGAACAGGCCACAAATTAAAAGTCAGATGAAATGAGGTGTGATGGATTGAAAGGTGGTTGATTTTTACTAATGTGTACAGCCTAGCTGTAAACCACACAATACTAAAAACTTTTATGTTATTTTTTTTTTAATAAATCAAAGCAAGACAAAATATGAAACAAGAAAACTATTGGACATTTGAAGCCGAAGGTGTTAGTAAGTAAAGGTCAAGAACCCTTTCTATGCCAATGGTGCATGAAGTCTATGAGGCGAGACTTATGTTGTTATAGACCAATCGGCAATGTGTGACCAATGTGGCCAGCTTGACTTCCCGGGACATTACCTGGTTCCCATTTTAGACTAGATCGACTTGGGAGCTAAGGTCAATTTGATGATAATAGTGACAGCATCATAATGGTAACTGCATCCGAGGCAGGCAGCAACAGTCATTACAACTATTAATGATTAACTGATAAACGGGAGAGACAGATGCTGATGGTAATAGTGTTTACAAGGACAGTGCTGAGAGTAATGGTGTTTACAAGGACAGTGCTGACAGTATTGGTGTTTACAATGACAGTGCTGACAGTAATGGTGTTTACAATGACAGTGCTGACAGTAATGGTGTTTACAATGACAGTGCTGACAATAATGGTGTTTACAATGACAGTGCTGACAGTAATGGTGTTTACAAGGACAGTGCTGACAGTAATGGTGTTTACAATGACAGTGCTGACAGTAATGGTGTTTACAATGACAGTGCTGACAGTAATGGTGTTTACAATGACAGTGCTGACAGTAATGGTGTTTACAATGACAGTGCTGACAGTAATGGTGTTTACAATGACAGTGCTGACAGTAATGGTGTTTACAATGACAGTGCTGACAGTAATAGTGTTTACAATGACAGTGCTGACAGTAATGGTGTTTACAATGACAGTGCTGACAGTAATGGTGTTTACAATGACAGTGCTGACAGTAATGGTGTTTACAATGACAGTGCTGACAGTAATGGTGTTTACAATGACAGTGCTGACAGTAATGGTGTTTACAATGACAGTGCTGACAGTAATGGTGTTTACAATGACTGTGCTGACAGTAATGGTGTTTACAATGACAGTGCTGACAGTAATGGTGTTTACAATGACAGTGCTGACAGTAATGGTGTTTACAATGACAGTGCTGACAGTAATGGTGTTTACAATGACAGTGCTGACAGTAATGGTGTTTACAATGACAGTGCTGACAGTAATGGTGTTTACAATGACAACTAAATTTATGAGGAGAATGAGAACAATATGTACATTTTATTTAGCACTTTGTGGTATCTGAGGCAAACCAAACTCATCCACCAGCACACCATCCTGGGGAGAAAGACAACACACAAGTGCATTAATGACAAACAAGATAACAGTCATATAACAGACAAATCCATGCTATTATTGTAGCACCAACAAAGGAGTATTGCGCAATGACAAAATGTAGAGAAAAACTGCAACTTTAGTGAAGAAAGACGAGGCTAGGAGGAGAGAAACCAGTTGGGGAAGGAATGACGGTGAGAGAGGACAGGAATGACTGTGAGAGAGAGAGAGTCGAGGAGTAGAATGAGATGAGAGAGACAGGCAGAGAAGAAATAAGAGAAAGGTGAGAGACCGGGAAAGAACAAAGGGGAAGAGAGACAAGGAATGAGGGGAGAGAAAGAGATTAGGGGGGGGGGGGATGAAGTTGAGAGAAGGTAGGGGAGAAATTATGGGGAACAGAGACAATGAATGAGGGGAGAGAAGGCCAGGGAAGAAGTGAGAGGGAAAGAGAGGTGAAAGAATGAAAGAGGGAGAGAGTGATAGGGAAGGAATGGAGATGGAAAGGAGAAGGGGACATAGAAATAATGAGGAGGGGGGAGAGAAAGGGAAGAAATGAGGGTGGAATAGTGAGAGACAGGGACCTAATGCAGAGAGAAGAAAGACAGAGAATGAATGAGGTAAGAAAGAAAAACAGGGATGCAATGATGGGAGACAGAAAAAGGGAGGGAAGGAGGCAGGAAGAGGAAAGGAGAGTGAGGGAATGAGGGTGATGATAAAGAGGGGAGAGAGAATGAGGGGGAAAGGGGAACAAGGATGGAAGCAGCAGGAGAATGAGGAGAAAATGAGAAGAGAAAGAGAGATAAAGCGAAGAAAAAAGACAGAGGCATAGAAGAAAATGGAGGAGATAATGTGTGCGTATGTCCATCTGGCTGTCTGTGCATGTGCAGTCTTCAATTATCCTTTAAGTTCTTTTCTCTTATATGAATCTGTGAACCTATACTTCTTTGGTAAAGCAGGCAGCCCTCTAGCCAGTGCATCACCACAACTGCCAAACACCAGGAAAAATAGTGTAATCTCAGGATACAGGTGTACTTGGATATGTATTTTTCAAGATACGAGGTCGGGTAGTTAATTTCCGTTCTTTATTAATGTCTTACCCACAGGACAGTTTAACATTTTAGAGGGTGGTAAGATGGGGTTTCCCGGCTTTCTGATGCTTTTAACGACCCGCACCCAAATTTCTATTTCCGAAGTATACAAGGTGAAATGCAGGAAGGGAGCTGGAGAGACAAGAGCTGTTAGCCTTATCCGACAGCATCTCAGTATCTTTTAAATAGATTTAGTCACATTAACATTGTCAAAGAATGATTTAATTAAGAGGTAATTCTAGATTTGAAAGGTATGATTACATAGGCTTATCCACAAGGCATTTGATGATGATAAACTATACTGTCATGGTCAGAAACAACCCCGTTTTCAGCTGCCGGGTAAACCCCCCAAAAAAAGCAGTGCCACACATGTTCCCCGTTAACAAAACAAACCCTTCATTTTTGTTTGACATATATAGCATCCAAATGCCAGGCTGGAACACAAACTAAAATTATTTTCATTCATGTTAATAGGAAAATACATTTTTAGGTTATTAGTTGATCAGTTATGTAACGATTAATTTCATATCTTGAGGTTCTACTGTACTCACTTTGCTCTCAGTTCCAGGATCACTGGTTGGTGCCGAGGGAGCAGTGACAGCGTCGTCAAGGTAGGAGGAGTCCTCATCCAGCAGCTCATCACCGAGGGCGTCCAGCTCCGCCTCCAGGTCATCATCATCCAGCTCTGGCATGCCATAGCTCCTGGACATCACTTCTTGAATTTCACTGCCCTGCTCCATCAAATCTTCCAAGTCATCCTGCATATTCTACAATCAGAGACAAAGTAATCATGCTTTTTCAAACAATTCAACAACAATTCAAACATAAATTCATCATCAACACCCCCCCCACCCCCCCCCCAGTTTCAACAGAAATAAAAATATTGCACAATTTACTGTCTGGCATAATTTTATACCTCTTCAAGTGCACCACTGCAGTTTAGATTAAACACAATAAAGCACACAAATTGAAACCCTAAACTGAAATTCAAAAGTCATTTGTTACAATGTACATCTTGTCACGGAAGTCCTTTTAACTGAAATTCATGTCATTTGTTACAGTGTACATCATGGCATAGAAGTCTTTTTAACTGAAATTCATATGTCATTTGTTACAGTGTACATCATGGCATAGAAGTCTTTTTAACTGAAATTCATATGTCATTTGTTACAGTGTACATCATGGCATGGAAATCATTTTAACTGAAATTCGTAAGTCATTTGTTACAGTGTACATCATGGCATGGAAGTCTTTTTAACTGAAATTCATAAGTCATTTGTTACAGTGCACATCATGGCATAGAAGTCTTTTTAACTGAAATTCATATGTCATTTGTTACAGTGTACATCATGGCATGGAAATCATTTTAACTGAAATTCATAAGTCATTTGTTACAGTGTACATCATGGCATGGAAGTCTTTTTAACTGAAATTCATAAGTCATTTGTTACAATGCACATCATGGCATGGAAGTCTTTTTAACTGAAATTCATAAGTCGTTTGTTACAGTGTATATCATGCCATGGAAGTCTCAGACTCAGCAAGTGATTCTTTCGTTTACATAATGTGGGATTCCTGTCCTATTTGCCACTGATTCCACACAAAAAAGTGTTTAAAAAGTGAGTGAATCAACTTCACTGCATAGTTTCTTCTCATCCTTCTGCACTTATCTGATGCTGTAAATGAGTTTCATCCATCAACAGCATCACACTAAGCCCAATACTCCAAAGCTCCAGTAACGACTCCTAGGGTGTTCTATAGCACCTGCCCTCACAACCCAAAGGACAGAGCCAAAAACTACAAGCTAAAAATTCAGCAAAATCTTAACCACTTCATCATGGTGACTTCACCTAAATATAGCCAGTGAAAGAGTTTGGAAACCATTCAAACACACATATCTTCTTCTTCTTCTTCTTCACGTTCACTGGCTGTAAACTCTGGCAGAAAGTTCTGGTTTTCATCCACTTCTGGACTTTAGTCTTGTTCCAGAACCGGAGTCTTGCATGCACATCCATTTTACAAATCTGGCTTATTTATAAGCAGACTGTTGGTTCCTTGCCTCTCAAGGTGCCTCCGTCTGGACTCCCAGACTGGCTTCATCTAAAATGGCCACTAAGAAATGTAATGAAGTAAAAGTGAACACCACCAAGAAGACTTACCTCAATCTGATCTATGTTTACATGTTTGTATGCTTTTTTGAAATCCTTGACGCCAATCTTCATAGCATCCACCTGCAAGGAAGCACAAACAGTGTAGTGTCGCAAGAAACAATGAGTGAATGATTGGCTGTTTGATGCAACGTCAAGAAACTGTGCATGCTTAGTTGCTTGGGGTAAAGTCTAGTAACAGTGACTGTGTGATTAGATGTTTGATATAATGTCCAGTAACAATGAGTGTATAGTTAATCCTTGGTGTAAAAGTCCAGTAACAATAAGTGTATGATTAGTTGTTTGATGTAAAGTCCAGACACAGTGTATGATTAGCCTTTAGTTTAAAAGTCCAGTAACAATGAGTGAATGATTATTGGTTAGTGAAGCCCGGTAACAATATGTTTTTAGAGTAGTCATTTGGTGTAAAGTCCAGAAACAATGAGTATAAGACGATTTAAGTGCATAGTCACGCAATACTTGTTGTCTAATAAAGAACAGCTGTATTACATGCTTGGAAGTATCACCTCTCACCTCTAGCTTGGCGATGGCAGGTATGATTTCTTCTTCTTTTTAGCATTCACTAGTTGTGAACTCCGGTGGAAAGCTGTTTATATTTGATTTGTCCACTTCTGAACTTTGGTTTTGTTCAAGAACTTGAGTTTTACATACACATACTTCAAATTTACAGCTCTGGCTTTTTGTAAGCAGACTGTTGGTTCCTCGCTTCTTAGACAGATGACTCCAACTTCAAGGGAAACACTCCTAATAAGTTGTCTTTGACATGCTTGCCTGGCAGGAAATGAGTGTATTCTTTTTTCCTCCACAATGTGGCTTCAAAACCCACTCACACAGGGAAGATAAGATCTAAAGTGGCAACAGAGTTTTAAATGTTCAGAAAACAATTTTTAAAAAACACCGGTGTGCACTAGGCTTGTATATGTGTATATGGTAGGGGAAGACAGAAATGTAGCCTTGAAGGCAAAAAATTGGCAGCCTAAACATAGCAGGGTTATGTCATATGAGCTATTTGTCACCCCCCCCCCCCCCCTCCCCTGTAGGTTGCAATTTTTCATTATTTTGAAGCCCCACCCTGGCTTTTGCCAAGTGGCTGCAATATAGCCCGGCCATAAATATGGTATAATGGCTGAATGCTGTTTCCACGACCTCTCTATGGGTGATCTTCATCCGCATATTAGCCTTTTGTGTCATCAGGTGTTTATCGCTTGCGTGATGTCCTGGTGGGGTAGAAAGTACTACTACTACTATCATAACAGGAATCATTTGTATTCTAACTAGCAGTCTGCATACAAATGAGTCAGATCTGTAAAATAGATGCACATGCAACACTCAGGTTCTGGAACAAGGCTGCTGTCCAGAAGTGGATCAACAACCAGAACTTTCCGCCAGAGTTTTCAGCTGGTGAACGCGAAGAAGAAGAAGAAGAAGAAGATCTGTACTCTACTTGTCCTATTCTTGTTATCCTCTTCCTTTTTCTTTATCTCTTCCTCAGTCTCCTTCTTATTCTTCTCCTGCTTTTCTTCTCTCAGGGAGCAAAAGGGATAAACAAAACTATGCCAAGTCCCTTGTGACTTGTTCAGGATTCTTGGATTTTGGAGCTCAAGTTGCCAACAGGGTGAGATTTGCCATCTCATGCCAACTCTCCTTAATTAGCACATAAAAGAACCACTGGTATTGTATGAACTAATTCCCTCTGTGGGTTCCGAGGCCCTAATATATGGAAAATAAAAACAGACCCACTGCCTACCCAAAAGAGTCGTAAGAGTCGACTAATTGGGAGCTTTCTTCGAAGTTGGAGTGCATCTGCCTGAGAGGCAAGGAACCAGCAGTCTGCATACAAATGAGTCAGATCTGTAAAACGGATGCACACGCAACACTCAAGTTCTGCAACAGGACTGCAGTCCAAAAGTGGATGGACAACCAGAACTTTCCTCCAGAGTTTACAGCTCGTGAACGCAAGAAGAAGGAAAAGTATGAACTAATGACTGTGTTACTGTTATGTCTCCCTCTTGCCTCAGTGGTGGAGCTTATGTTTTCCACTGATCCTGAGAGCCCTGCCAGCGGTAGCAGCAGCAACCAGCAGGGCTTTCCAAGCCGACAAGACAAGGGGGACAGAACAGAGACAGACACCCTGTTCCTTCAGGTTGGGCTCTAAAGTGTGGGACTTCCTCTTCCACTGCTGTAATACCTCATTTCATCATGAAGCAGATATCTAACCCCTGAATTCAGATGACGTAGATGAATGGAGCCAGGTGATATTTGCAGCACTAAACCAACATGGGTTCCGAATAGTGAAGAATAAGAGGAATTATTTTGCTGTATTAAAAAAGGTGTATGTAAATGCTGGTGATGATTTTTTTTTTTTAATGTAAAGAAGCGCCAGGAGTGAAAAAAAAATGAAGCCCTGGATGAATAAACACTTGCTTACTGTTGTTTTCGTGTCCTTTAAGCTCTGAATCGCATAGTTTTGCTGCTCAAGGTTGAAAGACTGTTGACCCAGCTGATCTCTCTGGTTCTCATACCTGTAATAAAGGACCAAGTTAACCACTTTTAACACATGGCTAGAACTTCTGGACAATAGTAGGTCATGAAATCTCAAGCTCTCGCTGTGGAAAACTTTCCATAATGCAGATGGGTCTTGCTACTCTACTAACCATTACCACAGGATCTGATTTCCATGCATCCCTACAGAACATTGATAAAGCTATCATCTGGAAGGATGAAAAGGGTGCCAAGAGTAGTCACTTCACAAAATACTTTGAAAACTTGGTTTAACAGAAAACTACTTTGAATTCCTTGGATGGTCAAAATGAGCGATTTAAGATGTTTTGGAAGAGGTAACAATCCTAGGGCAGCTTTTCGCAAACATTAGAAAAAGACAGTCATCACTGTTTGGTCCCAGGATGATAGTGAAAAACTGGGACATACAGTAATAACCAGAAAAATGAATGAAAAGAGAGACAAAGGAAGTCAACGAAAGAGGATTGTTGACAGCCTTTTATCGTTGCATAAAAGGTGTCTGCACATGAACTGATAAAGGCACACAGTGTGGAGAAGCATGATCATTCATGCCAGTCGGCATAAAGAAGAATAAAGTAGGCATTAACTGGTGTCTGCACAGAACAGAGATAATTGCATGGTATGATAGAATTACTAATGTGAATCCCTAATGTGTAGTACTAATTACTAATGTGTAACTTTGGGAGAGAGAAGTGAAAGTTTATGTGAATCAACAATAAGGAAAAGAGGCTGGCTTTGAAGAGGCTACAGACTCCAAGCATTCTAGTTACATTATCAGCTGTTCTCAATGTGTGATACAGGGATAGAAAAATTAAGAGAAACACACACAAAAACACAAGGAGGAACAATGAGAGATAGGAGTATAACACTGTGTGGAGGACATGTGGTGAGTTGTATAAGATGGCAGAGGACAGGATCATTTGGCGCAAGCTGGATGAGCCCCTGTGCGCTGTAAAAAGAGAGAAAAAAAATGAAAATTTTTTTTTGATTTAAACATATTTTAACTATTTAACAGTGCATTAAATCCCTCTCCAAGCTCATAAATCAGTGGGCTTGGATCAACACTGGAACTTTACATCACAGCAGAAGCATATTAGGTAGGATATTATTAAGTCATAATTCAGTACACTACATATGAAGTGGGCTGAGGTTAGCCTAGGAATGTTTGCTAACAGGGTTAAACCTTCTATCAACGAGAATGCATATAAACGGTTTATGAACCATGGGGATTCCTTAAACAAATCCTTAAAATCCTAACCATTTTACACGGGCCACTAATATATTTTTGAACATTTTTTCATTTATGTTTTTAAAGTTTTTTCCATTATTTTTTTTCAGTAAATATATAGAGTTGTTAAAGAAAGTAATCAATACACATAAACAGAGGAATGTAACATATTTCCCAAGCCTAAAAAACATGTATATCTGGTGAGTCGTGTTGTTCCCCTGTCAGGATACAGGAAATGACTTCACATTGGCTTTAAAAAAATCTATTTGGTTTATAAGAAACCCTGATGATGACTAATGCCACACTCTGCTCTTTGATAAAAATATTAACAACACAACAACACAAAATAAAGAAAAAGCAGTACGAACTTACATGCGCTTCTGTTTCAACACTCTCAAAGCCTTCTGTTTGACCTGATTCTGTAGAATAAATTTAGTAACAATTTTGGCACTGACAAACAAGTGAAACCATAACAAAATCTTTCTTTTATTTTGGACACAGGATGCCTTAAATGTTACAGTGCCCACCTCTGGCCCATGCAGACCTGATTTACTCACAGTCTGTAGTCTACTTTTTCCTTTTACGAAATGGATAATATATTTTCACTCTACTCGCCAATCCTAGGGTACTGGATTAAATTTCTAATCTTCTCAGATAATGGTCTGGCCGACGCTCGACAGGGGAAGGGTGAGACGGATATACAATCAGTTACTGGTACCATCTGAATTTTAACTCTTCGTTTGCTGCTGAAGATGGGGATAGAGCGCGTATGGGAGTGTCCCAAGTGCTGTGATGTAGACTCTTAATTCAACATTTAAGATAATGGTAGAAAAAATCAGACAACTGGTATATGCGTTGCCCATATAAGAACACACAAAAACAGTAATCTAAAATATCAGACTAATAGTGTGGGGCTCTCTTTACACACCATCGGTGCATAGCCTTAACACCTATCCATCTTTCCAGGTGACAATGTTCCACTGTGCTATACAGAGACATGGGAATTAGAGCCCAATGTGATGGCAAGTGTGACTAGCAAGACCAGCTCACAATAAGAAGAATCTCCTACAAAAAGTGCATGAGATTTCAAATTTGAGACGTTTTCCCAGGCTATTAACCTGTCTGCAATCCTTTTCTTCTGTGTGCCTATTCCCTTTCTAATTTTACTCCTCCATGCAATGTGATTCATGGCATCTTGTTCCCAGGAATCCACCTCAACGCATGTATGGTTTATGTTCCACTAGCAGACATCTTTAGAACAATTTATTTTATTTTTATTTTATCAATCCAACGTCAGCTTTTTCCCCTTCCTATTTTTGTTTATATTCACCTGACCCCCATGTGGGTACTGGTCGTATGAGTACTTTACCTCATTGTTATTGTTGTGAAGTTCATTTATTTGTCTTGTCATTTGTACGTTGCTACCCTTCCCCCATTCTTTAAGCTTGTCAGTCTTAGTTCATTGGATTGATCTTTAGGACAAGAACTTAGAGCCTCAACTGCTGTATCTCAATACATTGATTCAAGACCAGTTAAGCAAAGAGTGAAGTTCCTCTTCACCAAAACACAAAGCTTGCGCAGTATTGTAGAGACCAAAGTTTCCCATGCCACATGATCCCCTTCTTGGCCTGCTTTGTTAACTATAAAGGAAAGGTAACACCAGTATATCTGGAACAAACAATGCTGCAAATAGTACAGGGAAAAGATCATAAACAATCAGCTATTTGAATCACCTACTTTTGCTGGACCTTCTCTCATCTTCTTCATTTGATCCTTGTATTTCTTCAGTTCTCCCTCTAAACGGTCAATTTTTTTGTCTATGGACTCTCCCCTGCTATCAATCTGTGGATTATATATAATCATGATACATGAGCAATGTGTGTGAGAAACGCTAGCTAATTTAATAAATATGTAGCTCCCGGTGTGGGTTCTGGGGTCCCATTGGAGGAAAAACAAGAATAGACCCACTGCCTCCCCAACACACATGTTGTAAGAGGTGACTAACTGGGGGGTTTCCTTTAGAGTGCATCTGCCTGAGAGGCAAGGAACCAAAAGTCTGCATACAAATAGGTCAGATCTGTAAAATGGATGTGCACGCAACACTCAGGTTCTGCAACAAGTCTAAAGTCCAGAGGTGGTTGAACAACCAGAACTTTCCGCCAGAGTTTTACAGCCGGTCGACGTGAAGAAGAAGAAATATGTAGCAATGTGTGAATATAAATTATGAATTACTCCACAAATATATGTTCATGTGCTTAGTTTTAAGAAGATAAAGTGGTGGTTCCCCTTGCCTTCTGTCACATGATGCTAGAGCCAGCATCTCTATTTTTTCCACCCGCTCTTATTTGCACCATATTTCCAGGAATTTGCTGAAGTGTCCATTTAAGTTAGTGAACAAGTGAAACTGCAGTTTTTTGTGTGGAAAATGATGTCTATCACATTAGGAAAAACTTTACATGTAAACAAAGTAATCTTATATAGTTTTATGTATTCACATGTGAGGCTGCACGCCTGTATAGGTTGCATCTAGTTCCTGAAACGATAATCTTGGGAAAAAATAATTTTCTTATAATTTCATCGACAGACCAAAACCTGGAACAGTAGTACCTATAAGCAGTGAAAGATAAGTAGCGTAAGAGCAGGTTACAGCTGTGAATTTAAGTTGCATGTAGCGTTATGATCAGCAAAATGGAAACAGATGTTCAATATAGATGACATGAAATGTGCCAAGATGGTTTGGAATAAAAGATGCTCTTGAAAAAAAAAAATTCAAAGGTCAACAACCTTTTCATGACAAGAAAACGAAATAACGGAAAGTAGAAACAATTCTGCCGGAATATATCTATAAAATACAGGCAGATGTATTTTCGGTGTCTGTGGAAATGTTACAGTTTTAAGTTCACCAATTATCAAACATCATGGGAACTGTTTAACCAATGATTTGAGCAGTGCATCCATTAGCCTAATCCTACCTCATTCTACCATGGTAGACTGGTTCCACACCACCTGTGCCCCTGTTCTGGGGGAAGTATGAAAACAAAATTCACTTTTCTAAAAAACTAGCAATAGGGAAGATTGTACTGTAGGTGTTCGGTTTTACACTGTATATAACTGGATGTCAGCTGTTAAAAACAGGTAAGACTGATTTAAATAAGTTTAGTAAAGGCCCGAAGATGTGATGCATTGGAAGCAGTAAGTATTTTGCCTGTAGGAACCATATTTCTAAACTAGCTTGTGTAGGAACGAGCTGGACTCGTGTCCTACAACAAACAAGCAGTGCAGCCACATACAGCTGAGCACAAACTTCAGGCAACTGGGGTGATGTACCAGAAATGCAGTCAAATCTGGTGTTGGGCCTTATAGCAAGGGAAGGACAGACATGAAGTGGAAATATTTTGTTCATTTTTTTATTTTCGAACATGGAGTGACCCCAGGAGGGATTTTGTCCACACTGCTTCTTGTATCTGAAATATTGGTGTATATTTAGACTTTTCCTCTACACACCTAGTTATCCTATTCTCCGCAGGGGTTTGTGGTAATTCTTTTCGTTTAGAAGGCATAAGTACTTGTGACAATACGCGCGGTGACTTCAGAATGACTTTCCTCAACCTACTTTTATTTCTTTGTATTTTGAAAGTATACAGGAAAATAGGGATTTGGATACATCCTTAATCTAAGTAGGCGAAATAAACAAGCATTTAATTCTCCTGGGATGTTGGCGATATCACACACTAAAACTTTTTCCCAGACGTTAAGTGTTGAGGTACAGAGATAAGACTGACCAAGCAGACTTACTGACTGGAGATTTGCACACCATTTGTTGGTGTCAGATAGTTATTCCCCATGCCAGATCTTCAGGAACAGATAACAAGGGCTAATTGCCATTATCTCCCCCTGAGGTTCAAACCCACACCCTCACTATATCAGTGTATTTACCCACGTGGGCGCGCGACAGTACTGGCCCTGTCTCTGGAAAAATGAATGGTGCATTACTTTCTGAACGCCCCTCGTACATTAAAATTGATTTCTATTTTTCCCAGAGGTTTTTCTCTCACTTCGTTGGAGTTCCTGTTACTTTCTCCTAGATTTACTTCTGCTAGTGGTTGATCATACCAATAGCAGTAGGGATAGTTATAGAGTGCTTACATGTCCAGGGAGGATGGCTTGCAGGTTTGGAGGTAATTGTGGGCAGCCATCATGTTCAACAGACATTTATGGCTGTCAGGACAAGAGATCCCAGCTCTGGCTGGGTAAAGATTTGTTCATACATTATTTTTTTTGTTTTTTTTACTTTTCTATATTCCAGAATGATGTATGTCTGGGTTATTCAGTTAGACATTTTAATCTTAGCCCCAGTGAGCCTTGGATGAAGACAATAAGTAAAGCTGACCACTGATAACTGCACTGGGTGGATCCTTTCTAGGTGGGTGAGTCAGCACTATCATCACTTGGTGGGATTTCATGGGGTTAGCCCCATTCTGTTTTCTTCTATATTATAACATCATCATAAAGTGGGTTAAGTTGGAATGATCTGTCAAGCCTGTGATTCAGTGCATCTGATTTTCCTGCAGGACAGAGCATTCAAATGATGTCAAAATAATGTACTTCAATGTCCATTCACCCCGAAACAAAGCAAATCCTAGAGTTCCTGGGATAGTCTAAACACATTACCTGACATCAAGATGTTTTCTTATTACGGTTTATTTCCATTCTCTTTTTATATTGTGTGTTGTGATAACCCTAAAGTTATCCCTAATCCTAACCCGTGCTAAACATAGCTACCCTAAATAGCAGGTTTGTTTGGGGTGAATTAAAACTGAAATATCAAAAATAAATATCACAACTGCATGAAATAAATGATTTTATGGATGCTGGCTGCATGCACTGCTGTTTTTAGAAAAAACAAGAAGGTGAGACTATAATCTCTACTATGGTATAACTCTTATACCACTGTCTGAAAAGCAAATAAAATTGTTTTTTAAACTGCCTGCAAGGGAAATCAACATCTTGCATGTTCAGAATTGTGAAAGTGAAAGATGGGCACTCTTTCAAAACCTGTCCCAAATTATTCACGGAACAGGAACACTACAAACTATGCTTCGCATTATTATATAATTTCATTTGAACCACACTCTTGAGTCTTTGGTAGTACAGTTATAAGTATCCCCCCTGCCACGCGGATGTTCGATTCCCTGCGTGTGATATTTTGTTTTTATTTTTTTAGCACTTAAAAGGGCGGTTGGCACGTTGTGTTGTAGTTTACAGCTAGGTTGCAATATATGCGCCTTTCGCTCGGTCTTGTGGTTTACAGCTAGACTGCGATAGTGGTGGCGAGATGCTCAATGGTCATGTCACAGATAGGTAATCTTCTTTTTTTTTTGTTCACCCTCGAAAGAGTGGTTGGCATGTTGTGTTGTTGTTTACAGCTAGGCTGCGATATCTGCGCTTTTTGCTCCAACACATCAGATTTCACAGTCCTAATTAGTCGCCTTTTACAACATGCTTTTTAGGTGGCAGTGGATCTGTTCTTTTTTTTTCTCCCTCAAACATGTGGCCCTGGAACCCACAAGAGGAGTCACAGGTAATGTGAACAATGGATCAAAAACTATTCCTCCCCACAGTGCTTTAATGGATGAAAAATTACTCCTCCCCATGAATAAATGGATAAAAATATATTCCTCCCTACGACGATTCAATGGATCAAAAACTATTCCTTCCCATGGTGCTTAGCTTAATGTTTGAACATTGCAATCCATCGAGCAATAACGGCAGAAGTAGAAACTGATGATAATGACCAAAATGCTTTTACTACATAACCTCTTGAGGCTCTCAAAGGGATGTTTTTCCGCAGTGAATAATTTGGGACCGGTATTCGGAAGAGTGCCGAAAGATGTAATTAATATACAGCAAAAGTACAAACTGGGGATTAAATTATATTATTACAAATAATCAAATTATGAAATGGATTTAGGATATAATTATTCAAAGGTAGATTACTTTAGTGAAAAAAAAGTATCAAAATTAAATACAAGCCAGGCTAAAAGAAATGTGTTATTTATATTGTACCCATATCCTGCTTCGGCAAGAATGTCTATTTTCTAAAGCTCTCCTTTGTCAGTTTCAAAAATCTCAGGAAACAAGAGCAAATAATGACTATCGAGTTAGTAATTAAAATAGTATAGATGCCTTTAGTTTTCCCCTTTCAGGATTGCAGTAGTCGGCTTTCCTTTGAATAACGGTCCCAAATTATGGAGGCCGAAAATATACCCTAACATGTAAATTTCTGACCTCTTCCGGCGACCACACTACACACCGTCGAGAGTATCTTCCGCGCCGCTACGCACGGCGCGCGGCTCAAATAGATGGCTGGGACTGACGAGAAGCAGCTACCGCATCTTATGCAGCTTCCTCCATTATATTTGCTTGTAAGTCCCAGCCATCTAGTTTAGCCCCGCTCCGCGCCTGAGGAGGATAGCCCAGTAGTCTGTAGGATTAACATCTCAGCTCTCCTTGCAATAACGGTCGCTAGTTGGATGGCAACTGCCGCTTAGTCGGAGTTCAGTCCCCTGGCTGCAGTGCAATTACTGAGTGGAAAAGAGGGAACGACACAAATGACATAATTAGGGCTAGGGGTAGGGTTTGGGTTAGGGTTTAGGTTAGGCTAATGTGAGTAGCAGTGCGTGGTCTAAACTCTGAACTCACTGTGTTTTGTGATTTGTGCCTTGTCCACTCCATAATTACACTACAGCCAGGGGACTTAACTCCGACTAAGCGCCGTGACGTCCAAGTAGCGACCGTTATTGCAAGGAGAACCAACATCTCAAAGATGAGAATCAAAATCAAAAAAGGTACAAATCCTGGAAACCCGATTCAGCCGAGCAGTACAGCAATGTTATATTTGGGACACCAGAAAGCAGTTTGGGTCTGAACGAACGATCGTTTGTTAACATCCTAAAAATTTTTTTTTTTTTTTTTTTTTTTGTGTATTTTATTTTATCTTAACATCCTAAAAATACTAGTATATCATTGATATACAATGGTTTTGTCAATGTAAATTTATTAAAATTTCGTAGTATTCAACAACCAATTATTCAACACTGAACACAGTCAAGTCATACTTAATTTTAGTTTTTACTTACACTAGAAATACAATCATTAAGATTTGGAGGTGGTTCCTTCGCTTTGCCGCGACCAAACATGCGATTCATCTTCCTTAAGATTAACAAACTAAAAGAAACAAATGATTATATCCTCTGTTCTGACAACAGCTTTGAACAACCCACAATTGGCCTTCCAATCTGTCCGCCGTCTTACGTCTGCCCCAGTCAGGGGCAATAAACCCGATTGTAAACAGGGAGATGTTATTTCTTACCAGTGCTGACTGAAAATATTTAAACATATTTCTTGTATTTCAAAGTATTTTTGAAACAAATAAGCATTATAAAATAAGTTTACTTTTTCTAAAAGTTCTGCTGGTATTTACTTTAAAACATAAATAAGAATAAACTACAAATAAACTTTTGCCCAATGAAAGATCCCGCATACCTAATGTCATGTGATAGTGAAACAGGTAGGGCCTATTTGTGGATGGTGTGTGTCATCAACCCCCCCCCCCCCCCAATTTGTTTCCAATTTCCACCTCTACCCCTCCCCCTCCCCCCTTTGAAATTATGGTTTTGGGTGTTGTGAATTGAATAAATCAATTCAGTTCTATGTGTGTAATGTGGAGAGTATAACTATAAGTTAGATTCCATATACCCTTCATAGACTACAGTAAGCTTTTTGATTGTGTTCGACATTAAATACCAACAAATACTGAGATGCATGGGATTCCCACAACATTTAGTACATCTAAGAGAATTTTATTACCATGAACAACAAACACCAGTCAGAGTAGCTGGTGAAACATCGGAATAGTTTGATGTGCAAAGAGGAGTTCGGCAGGCCTTATTCTCTCTATCCTTTTTTAATGTATGTGCTGAAAATATTATGAGAAATGCAATTAGTGAAGAGGCCTGCGACAGCAGATCACTTAGTTCAACAGGCACAGTAAATTCCGAGGAACAAAAAGAAGAAAAACATAAGATTTTCCACACTACTTGAACACTGGGGAGAACTGGCTAATAAACAGCATCCTTTCCAAAAGCTGAAGTATTTTTGGTACGTTAAACATCCTGATAGCCTGGAGAGAAGCGGCTTCCACGAGTGGGGATACAGGAACATTAAATCTTTTAGCCCCAGATGGTTTCCCCCAATTAAAAAAAAACCCAATATGGGACAATAATCACAGGTTGTCGGCGCTGTGGATAAGTCGATGCGAACGCTTCTTAATGCCGGGATGCCAGGTTCGATACCAGCTGCGGGCCATGCGCCTTGTGTTGGTTTCGACAGTGGTATCAAGAAAGCCAATCGTTCAGTAAGCAATGGCAAACTACTGGAGGTAAATTTGCCTTTAAAAAACACACAACAGCCAGGAGCTGTTGGGGTTGGTTCTGCAACTTCCTGTAAAGGATACGCAACTAACCATAATCACAGGTTAAAGGGCACCAGGGCGGACTTTCTAAGATACACATATACTGAGTTGCATTTAAAATATTTCACCAGGTTACTGGTGCACACTCAGACGAAACATGTAATAAACAATAACACACCGCGTGTGGTGTTGAATTACATAGACATACACTGAGCACGCATGGTGTGTTGTTTGGGGGGGAAAGAGTTAACGGCGTATGGGACATGAAAGCACATAAGGTTGGAGAATGGCTAGATAAAGAGATACTTTCTGGCATGTTGTGAAAAGAGCGGCGTTCTTTAAATGACCTGCGGTTTCATGATGATGTGTCGGGTAATTCTACGTTCAGTTGACATTACATGTAGTGATTAGAAAGGATTATTATCACAGCACTCCAGACTTATCCACAGGTGCTCCGATATTTCCCTCAGAAGACCCAAAAGTGTAAAACGACTGACGACGACTGTTCTGTGCTGATTATTGAAACGTGCCCCTTTGTGAAATGCAAGACCTCCGGCAGACGTAGATTTAAAGCTGGAGCCGGCCGTAGTGAAATGTTAGTTTCTTGCAGCTCCGGGCCGTTAACGTGCTCGTCGTCGCGGTAAAATTGCTGCGCATGGCATTGACAACATCTCATCTGTCCAGTACCAGCCATAGCAACGACAATATTCAATATGCATGCTCGTTCCCTTGAACACCCGCATGACCTAGCACAAAGTTGTAGGTTGGGGCAGCCATTCGTGAAGTGTTTGGCGTGCAATAATTCTTGTGTGATTACACCAGTTTTGATTTTTTGGAAGCATATTAAGTATGCAAGCGTGTGGGACCTCGGAAATCGCCGTAGCTTTGCCTAAATGCGTGGAAAAGAGACCTTAGATGTGTAAACTCTTACCAAGCCATGCCCTTGATACAGCCAATTTCCATTGGGAGACTAGTAGTTGTAACAGCAAAGGCGCCATTCATCTCCTTGGTGGTTTTCCATCTTAAGCCTAATAATGTTAATGCCAGTGCGCCTCTCTTGCCCCGAATTACTGATCCATCTGTGTAAATTATAGCATCACCTGCATCTATGTTTTCATCAATCAGTGTTCAGACACAAGTGTCCATAATGCCTGGATTCTGCTCTCTACCTACAGCTTCTATCACGTGTGCAACGCACCTGGATAGCTTGATCCTGTTTTCAACTGTAACGAAATCGCATGGATTTACACGAGCTCTCCCTGGTGCATCCAAGGATAAAATGCGCTGCCTCGTTTTCAGATTATTTTTTTTTTCCCAACATGTTCATCTGTGTGGTGTTGAGTTTTATTATATGGTGTACATGTTTTTTGTTAATGCTATGCATCTGACAAAAGTTATAACCAGGCATTTCATGGAATCAGATCTCTCCCCGTCAGCGCCACAGAAATTTACCACCGGCATTGATGTTTTAAAAGGGTAATTATTTAATGAGACTGCTCTTTTTGGTAAATTAATTGCTGCACCTGAGATGTTGCACAAGGCGATCCCATTCCTGTTGTAGATACGAAACAATATTATCTCTCTTCCTGATTTGTCGGTACAAGAGGATGTCATCCGCACATGGAAGAGGGGAGATGTTGAGTTTCATTAACTAACATATCAGTTTGTGGAAGGGAACTTTGATGTATGCATCCTCCAGATCTATAGCGACTGCACATGTTTCAAAGGCAGCTTGAAAAGCTTCATATTTGTTAAAGACGGCAGCATTACGTCATGTTTTATCTGTACATGTATACTTCAAGTGTGTGGGGTAGCAGCTGATGTATTTTAAGGTGACTTATCTTTTGCAGTTTTGCCTAGTGGGTTCTATATCGTAGTGGTTACATAGCCATTTATGTTCGTGGATTCTTTGCTACATTTTTCTAGCTGAATCAATTAGCTGTGCGGCCAGCTTTCTGGGACGTTGCCATTACAGATCTTGTCTTTGTAGGCTTCACATGTGACAATGGATGGGGTGGGCAGCTTGGCAATGTCTTCGTAGTGAATGCCACAAGGAGACCTTATCTATTGACGTTTTGATTATGTTCTTAATTTCAGCGACTGTAATTAGCTGATTATCTTGAATGTCTGCACCAGCGCATGTTGCAGCAAGCATGTCCATAGTAGTCTCATAGGTGGAAGTGTCCTGCATGCAGGTTTGATTGAGGCATTTGTCAAGGAGTGCTCGTCTTTTGACTTCATCAGACACGTTCCGTGTTTGGTCTTTACTAAGGAAGTCTTTGATGCCTCGGCGTCTAGAATCACCTGTCGTTGCCTTGTGCATAGACCAGAATTTTGCAAGAATTTTTCCTTGCAGACTTATTGGCAAAAGATGTCCCAGTGTGTGACATTGGCCTGCTGGGCAACTGCTTTGAAGGCTGCTGTTGTCTTTGTCATGGCCTTGTTGGATTCCCGCAGTAGGTCTGGAGTCAGTGTTGTGAGTGACCGTGTCTGGGACAGGTAGCACAGGGTGGGAATGAATATGCTTTGTATGAGATGTTTCTTTATCTTGTCTGTAATGAGCTTGTGGTCGAACTGTTCAAATACTTGGTTTTCTAACAAGGCCATATATGAGCATATTTTCTCCTATTGTGTGTTTATGGTTTCATGTTGCCAGGGGACCGCGTGGTCTCAAGGCATGATGTTCGCCTCGAGTGCTAGAGGTTCCGAGTTCAATCCCCCGGTAAGGGCTTTAATTTTTTTCACGTGTACTTGGACTTCTAGTAATTCCTCCCTAGTCTCTGGGTAGTGAAATCGGACGCCTGTGTGCATTGTTGTGCACGTGAAAAAAAAAAACCATTAGCAGTTGAAAATCGAAAAGAGTAGCCTACCGGCGCTGCCCGGGCAAAATTTGGAGTTTAAAATCCACCTAAAGTAATTTTAATCGCCGTGTGCCATAATGCTGACCCGTACTTTAAACTTGTTGCCAAACATGTTGGCGTTGGCTGTTCATATGCTCTGTTGCCATGTCCGTTACAAGTTTGATAGTCACAGTAAGTAAAGAGTAAAGGACCCTTTTCCACGCCCTTCAGACGTATTGGATATATAGGGCTATAACTATATTTTTAAACCAAACGGCACTTAGTGGATGGTGTGGTTAGCATCACACCGGCCGCCTTTACTTCCCAAGAATGTACTTGGTACCCACTACACGCTGGGTCGACCTGGGATTTATAGTCACAGTATGTGTAGTTTTTAGGCTAGTTAAAGTTGACTGTGTATCGTTTACACGACGTTGCAGAACCAACTCCAACATTTTATGCGTTTTTAGGCAAATTTTACGTTCAGTAGTTTGACCCACTAAACGGTCAACTCTCAGTACCTCTGTCGAAACCAATGCAAGACAAATCGTCCGCAGCTGGGATCCAACCTGGCATAACAAAGCGCGTTCGCAACACCTAAGCTACAGACTCCGACTTAGGCTAGTACTCAGTTGATAAAGCATTCGGTCAGAATGTTCGACTTGGCATCCCCCCCCCTCCCCAATTTCTTACCGATGGACGTTGCAGAACCAGTCCCAGGTTTTTTTTCTTGGTTGTTGTTGCTGTTGGATTTTTACTCAGCAATGTTACCTTTAATAGTTTGCCATTGCTAATTGAACGGCCTGTTTTCGATGCCACTGTCAAAACCAACGCAATGCGGTCTGTTGCCAAATCGCTCGCAACTGGAATCGAACCGGACGCCTTGGAATTAGAG